AGAGCGCTTTTTGTGCAGCTGCATGCCCAGAATACCAACCGTCAGGTATCTTCTATCACACGACGTGCCAAATGTTTTGCGCAAATCTTGAAAATGCACTGTCTGATGGGCTGTTACTGCTATAAAATAGAAATTAAAACTAGAAACAGCATTTACTGTAGCTTTTTCACATGGATATAACAATCATCCAGCCAGACAGGCAGCTCTTGCATACTTCACTGTAATGCCATTACTCATTCTTCCCTAGAAAATTCAGAGCAGGAGTTGGGTATTTTATGTACCAACATTTTCTGAATCTTCTTAAAGTGTCACAGACATCCACCTCTCAGATTCCGCACCTGCTAATGTGCCTCTTCAGAATACTGTATCCTTTTATAGCACATGTTCCAAATAAAAAGGCAGCAATCTTTTGTCTTTGGATGTTTTGTTATCTTTGATTTCAGAGGTTCTAGGCTTGAAAAGGGGGGATGTTAAAAAGCAGGTCATTGGGTAACCATGTAACTGCTAAAAATTTCAGGGGTTAAACATACCTGCAGCACAGCAGGGGATTCCCCAGGAGCCAGTGTGCTCCGGAAGCTGGTTTTTAAGCAAGTTCCCTCTCCTGACTCCTACCCTGTGCTGTGGGCTCTGATATAAAGCTAGCAGCTGGGGGTGGCAGCTGGCTCCCTGGGAGCAGGGCATGAGCCTGCATGTAGCCATTCATGTTAACTGATAATCCCAGGAAGTTTCAGGGGGAGCTGAGTTAGTCTGCACAGGATAAACTTAAAAAACAACACATAGTCTGGCAGCACTTTATAGACTAACAAAACATGTTGATGGTGTCATGAGCTTTCGTGGGCACAGCCCACTTCTTCAGATGACTGGAGTTTCTGAAGAAATGGGCTGTGCTCAGAAAACCTCATTGTACAATCTACATGTTTTGATACATAAAATACCCATTTAAATGGTTATCCTGTTACATCCCTAATTTGAAATGTAGACAGTTTAAAGCAGGGCTTTGTTCTCTTCTCTTAACAAACATACTTCCCTTTCTTAAGAAGCTCCAAGTAGGGTTGTGGGTTTGGTTTTTAAATGTCACAATCTGCTATATGTGTCCATTTTTACTGAGGTTTTTCCACTCAAAAGCTGTACATCATTAAGTCTCTATCACATGGACCAGTCTCAGACTTTGCAGCAGAACTTTTTTCTAATGATAATGAAGGTGTATTTCAGCATAAATAGTCAGGTATTATAAATGTGTATTAGAAGTAGCCACTTCAGTTTAACATAGCCTCTAAAACAGGCTTCTTGGATTTTTGCAACCCTATCTGGAGATAAAATAGGCAGCTATTAGTGAAAATGAGATTTTTTTTCAGCCCATTTATCCGTATGGAATATCTAAATAAGAAGAGAGATCAAAGTGAGAAGAAACAATGAACACATGGAAGGCATAGAGTCCCAGCCAGCCGTAGGCACATAAACCTCTCTATCCATCTCCCAACTAGGGGCAGAAATGATTTCCGATCTTTAGGGAAGATAAAGGAATGCGAAAAAGGCTGCCCACACAAGAGAAATTAAGTATCACAGTAAGCTGCGTTCATGGGGGTATAGGCATATGATTATAAGTACTCTGTGTCACATGACAGGCTGTGATCAATCAGTTGTGGTCATGCTGCATGTCAAGACTTACTGTTACATTTCAGTGTCCAGGTTATTATTGTGTGTGCCATGTGTTTTATGCCTTTCCACCTCCTCACCCCTACTGTTCTTCTCAGGTCACTCAGAGTGTGAGAGATAAACATTCGTTTCCAGCAACAGACAAACGAAAGAGAAAACTCCATTGGCACGTTTCAATGTGTGGCTTTGTTAGGGATGGTCCAGGTCTGGGGATTGCATGAAGTACACAAGCTGCCTTCCTGATAAATAATCAGTATTGCCTATTTATATCCCTGCCTGCCAGTGCCACAGGATATTAAAAGAAGAGGGTTTCCTTTGGATTTATTCCTTTCACATGTTGTGACGGCGGGTTGGGGGTCCCCCGTCTCCTGCACCCCGAAATGGCACAAACAGACTGCACCAGCCAGTGGAATAGAGGAAGTTTAGATGTAATCTGGTCACAGAGCTGGGCTAGGATGCCTCAGGCCCCCTTGAGATGGGGGGAGACTGGGCCCCTAAACTCCAGCCCCTTTCCCTAGGCTGTCTCCTCCATGCTCCCAGACAGCCACTAAACTCACTCTCTTCCAGCCCTGCCCCCCAGCCAGGGCAGCCTCCACCTTCCTTTGTTCCTCTCCATGGGGTGTATCTGGTTCAACCGGTTTGGCATCACCTTTGCATAATGAGGTTTTCCCTGCTGGGTCTTGCTCCAGACAGCAGAGGTCACCACAGCCCAGCAAGTACCCCCACTATGTCACACATGTGTACATGTGCCATTAAAGGCACGTTATGTATCGCTGTCTTTGATGCTATTCACCAAATATCAAATTTCTCTGCCTTGTGGAAATACCACCTGCCTTTCCCCCCGCCAAAACAGGGCATCTGATCCATTCTACTGTATTTTGCGGTAAGATCTGGTAAACGGGGCACGCAGCTTTGGAGGCTCCAGAACTGCTTTTCCTGCCCTGCCTGGGCAAGGACTGGCCCGGTGCAAGGTGGACACCAGTGGCAAGATGTTCATAAAGCAGGGCCGGTCCACAACATTTTGGCACCTGAGGCAGGGAGCTCAAATGACGCCCCCATGACCTCTTGCTTGGGACAAAACTTTGAAAGGTCTCAATTCTTCCTGTTCTACTCCTCTCATGGCACTGCTCTCTGTACATCTAGAGCAGAGATAATACGTATGCACCAGCAACAGACACAACTTTCTACACTCTGGGTCCTAGTGATGCCTCCCTCCCTCCCAGTCTAGCACCTGAGGCAGCTACCTCAGTTCGCCATATGGTAAGGCCAGCCCTGATTGAGACACATGTGCTCAACTTCTTGCCAGCTCCTGCTCTTGATTAAGAACCTTTTTATCAACATCCCCATTCTCCACTGAAACTCAAATGACACAATCAATTATTTGCTTAGATATAAATGTTGGAAGAAAGAAAGTTATGTGGCAAACACCACAGCAAAAATGGAAATAGTTAATAATGGAGCTGCCAAGTAAAATGGGCAGAGTAATAAACAAACAAATAACCCATTTCTAAGGTTTTGAGCTAATCTCCAAATGGGTACATTTTTGGCTCTCTAACTTCAAGAATTACATTTTTAGAAAACTGTATCCTATAACATTTATCATCTGAACCAAATAACGTACAAATTCCGATAATTTGTTCTGTAATGTTTAAATGCTGTAAGTATTAGTCACATAAAGTTTTTTTTTAAAGGCTTAGCTCCCAATACAACCATAACTTTGGGACCACACTTGTGATCATATAAGAACACACACATGCACGCGCAACATTGGAAAGATCAGTACCATAGACCATAAAAGCAAAAGGAAAACAAAATATAAATGTTTGATTCCTTGACTATTTTGATATCAGGTATTTTAAGCCTCTTTATGTAATCTAAAACTATTTTATACAATATATTCCGTTGGCAAAAGGAATTGAGTGAATTTAAGCATGTTCATTACATAGTTGTCTGAACTTGGAAGAACGTAACAACCAATAGTCTAGCAACACCTTAAAGACTAATAAAACATGTAGATGCTATCATGAGCTTTTGTGAATACAACCCACTTGTTCAGATGACTGGAGTATTAGAAGTCCAGGTCCAAGAATAAATAAGGGAAGGCAGGGTCGGGAGGGAAAAGGAAGAAAATAAAAAAAAGAGAATTGGATTGTTCAAGTTACAAGAGGCTGATAAGAAAAATTTGCACCTCTAAAAGTGCCCATTGTTTGGTTGGTTGGTTAATCATTAGGATGTGGAAGGTGATGTGTAAGCCAGCCCATATCTTTATTCATTCCTCTCTGATAAGAATCAAACTTGTAAATGATGTTAAGTTCCAACTCTTCCCTGTGTATTTGGCTTGTGGAATTAGCCTGAAACAACACTGTGACATTGAGAAGCTTCAGGTAGTAGCCAAGTTAGTCTGTATAGGATAAACTTAAAAAACAACAAATGTAGACTAACAAAACATGTAGAAGAAACAAAAAACAGGACTATGTAGCACTTTAACATAGTAGAAGGTATCATGAGCTTTCGTGGGCTGTGCTACCAGCCATTTGTTGATTTTTAAGTTTATCCTGTGACTGAGATCCATTAATGAGTGCCCGAGCAGGTTAAAGTGTTCTCCACCAGGTTTTTGTGTGTTGCTTTTTCGGATATCTGAGTTGTGTCCATTAATTCTTTCCAGTAGAGACTGTCCAGTTTGGCCAATATACATGGTAGTGGAGAATTGCTGGCATTTGGTGGCATAGATCACATTAGTATATATACACAAGTTACACAAAGAAAATACTTGACTCCACTTTACTGATTTTTGCTGTAACAGGAAACTGACCTATATGGTGCCAAATTTTTACACCCATTGAATAAAATTGCCACCTAAATACACTGCTTTAGACTTAACAAGAGATCTCCCCCTGTCCTGACTGCCCTTTTTGACACATCATACTAATTTGAACCTCTATCTTGCAATCTGATCAGTTAAAATGCACACTCAAAACTATGGGGCTATCGGCTTAAGTCCAGGGCTTCACATGGCAGCAGCTGCCTTGTTCCCTCTGCCCACCGCTCTCTGCTGTCTCCGCACCCACCCTGTGGGGGGCTAGATGGGAGGGGGAGGGATTCTAGTATGGCAGGTACTGGGTGGGAACCACTAGACTGGGCGCACCCTAATAGGAGGGAAATGGAAATGGATTCCCCTAGGATGCATGGGCTGGGTTGGCAATGTGCCCTCTAGGTTTTTTCCATCCATGTTGGGAATAAATTTTGTGATGTGCACCAAGGCATGTGTGGATGTGCAGCACCAGTAGCCAGCGGAGGGTGGCGATGGGCGCTCTGCTAATCCACTGCATGGCATTTGAACCTCTCCCAAACCTGCATCTTTACAGGGAAAGCTGGGGGTGGGTGGGTGGCCCAGGCACCAGCTCCCCATCAGATGCTACTCAGATCTGTTCTGTGTTTTTTCCCTCCCATGCCTGTTTCCCTGGGTGTGCCTGGCCGGGCAGAGGATAAATGTCACAGTGAAGAGCGACTTGCCCATGGTGGTGAGCGGCTCCACAGCGCCGTGTGCTCAGCTGCTGATCTCGTCCATCGCAGTGGTTGGAACCGCTGAGCAGAACAGAGGACACAGTGCCAAGTTCTTTGAGTTCCTCACCAAGGAGCTGGGGCTGGATGCAGACAGGTGAGAGCAGCACAGGGAGGAGAGAGAGTGGGGGTCTGGTGATGTATTCAGCTGGTAGAGGAGGTTTAGTACAGCCTCCTAGTCAGACCCAGTTCAGTGCTGTGGAGCTGTCTCACTAATCAAGGTCTCTGTTTAGGTCTGTGGTCACCAACACATCAATTGCGATCGACTGGTCGATCGGGAGGGCCCGACCAGTCAATTGCGAGGTGTTCGGCTCCCTCAAACCCCAAGAACCCCACTGCCTCCCTGCCAGTACAATGGAGGTAGTGCCGGCTTCCCGCAGGGTGGACAGAAGTCCCACAGCTGCATGCTTCTTCTGGGGATTCAGGAAGTGTGCTGGCTGGTCCCCTTCCCCCAGACAGCTGGCGCGGTACCGCATGCCGGGGACTTCCATTGTGGGATGTGTGTATGTGTGTGTAGGAGTCCCTGGAGGAGGCGTGCGCCGGGAAGAGCTGCCCCGGGGGTGGGAAAGATGAGAGGGAGTAGAAGTCCCTGGAGGATGCGCGCACATGGATGAGCTTCCCCTGCGAGGGGGAGGGGGTAGGAGTCCCCGGAGCAGGCGAGTGCCAGGATGTGCTTCCCTTGCCGGGGGATTGTGGGATGTGTGTATGTGTGTGTAGGAGTCCCTGGAGGAGGCGTGCGCCGGGAAGAGCTGCCCCGGGGGTGGGAAAGATGAGAGGGAGTAGAAGTCCCTGGAGGATGCGCGCACATGGATGAGCTTCCCCTGCGAGGGGGAGGGGGTAGGAGTCCCCGGAGCAGGCGAGTGCCAGGATGTGCTTCCCTTGCCGGGGGGAGGGAGTAGCAGTCCTCAGAGGAGGCAGTACCAGGGACTCCCTGTTCCTTGCCCCCACCAACCCCCTGTCCCCTGCCGCAGCACCCACTCGCAGCCTGCTACCTGCCCCATCAGCCTGTCCCCTACCCCCACCAGCACCCTGTCCCGTGCCACAGCACCCTGTCCCCTGCTTCAGCACCCACTGGCATCCTGTCCCCACTGGCATGCTGTCCCTGTCCCGAGCACCCTTCCTCAGTACCATGTCCCCTACTCCCACCAGCGCAGTTGGGGCCACATTAATGAGGAGGGGTTTTGGAGGAGGTGTATTTATTTATTGATTTGTTTCATCTCTCTTGTGTGGCCTCAACTGACTTTTCTGTGCGTCAGTGACTCCGACTCAAAACAGGTTCCCTGCCCTTCTCAGAAATAAACTCAATGCTGAAACTTTGTGTTTGAGATAATATTTTATTTAAAAATGAAGCCTGGCCAACAAACCCCCAAATGGGGCCAAGCCCCCTTCTGGCCTCAGAATCATAACACTCCTGTACCACCCCCCAATCCGAAATCTGAGCCTATCATACACTGGAACCCCACCTTGAGCCTCTCACATCCCCAAACTCCTGCACCCCCACATCCTCAGTTTGCCACAACACTTCTGCATCATCCACACACCGCAAATCTGTATCCTGAGCCCATCATACTCCCACCCAACTCCTCTGCCCTGAGCCCCTCACATAGGAAAAAATTCCTTCTTAGCTTCCTCAACAGGGTGCCTATCTAGCATAATGCCCACAGCAGACACAGATAACAACCTGGTCCATTTAATACCAGAATAGGGAGGGAGGGTATGTGCTTGGCACGTGAGAGTGTAAAACCGTGTAGATGGTTAACTGATGAGCCAGATGCAGCCTCTGGCTTGCGTGGATCCGGCCCCCAACACTCCAGGCGCCCTTCCCCCATGCCATCTCCCTGTGGGGCTAGATCACACAATCTACTAGCCCAGGATCCCCCAGGCTCTGGTGTGGGAGGGGAATGTGGGGAGTCACTTTCTCCTTCTCAGTGGGAGGCTATGTCAGTGAGGGTGGGTTTGTTATTTTAGGTTTTTTTGCTTCTCACTTGTGTACAGCCCCCGACTGATTTTTCTGTCAGGCAGCTTCCCCATCCAAAAAAGGTTTCCTTCCCTGCATGTAATGGATAAATGTCTTGGGGAAATGATTTAATGGACAGGTGCTTGGTATCTGAATGAGCTGGAAGTAGTTGGGGAGTCCCATGATTGCCACAGCTTGGAGCCAACCCCCCCCCATCATTATAGTCTACCTTGCTCCTCCCACAAGAGGGGTGGTTGATTGGAAATAGGCAGGACTTGACAAATGGCGGCGAAAAAGCTTCAAGGAAGGGGTGAAGTCTTGGGAGAAGGATGGGTAGATCTTGGCGTGTTCTGACATTTAAAAACTGATCTTGGGCGTGAAAAGGTTGGAGACCACTGGTTTAGGTACAAGTAGGGGAAGCTTTATAAGAGGCCTTAGCAGGAAGGCACTCTGTCCTCCAGTCCTCTGATTTCCCCTCTGCTCTGCTGCTGATTTCCTGCACTCATAAGACACCTTCCTTCTTGCTCCTCTCTTGGCTTTCTAAGTGAGGGGTTAAACCCCCAGGTGTTGTTAAGGCAGAGGAGTACCAATAGCAGAGTTATCCCCAAAATGCAGTGGTGTAATGATGGGATCAGAGAGAGCCTGGTGACTTATGAGTGAGGATTTTGGGGAGAAGCATTAGAAGCAGAGCTGCATTGGAGTGAAAACAGATTTAAAAAAGAGTTATGGCAATTGAATGTCACTGTTCTTTAGGCTGGATTAATTTGGTTCCCCTATTCTGTTACGTAGCAGCTCTGACTCCATCTCTCCGTCATCTTACATAAAGTTCGCTATACTATTAGTGTCACCTCTGATCCCAATAACCCCTCAGAAGGGCTAATTAATGTCATGGATGTCATATATTCAGTACAGGAAATATAAAATTAATTTATCTATTTAAAGAAAAGGTCAGACGTCCTTGAAATGATGGTAGCATAAGGCTTACTTTGCCTCTGAGATGAATTTGCCAGTGTTTTTTTCCTCTATCCCTTTCTCCTTTATTTCCCCCTTAATCCAGTAGCAGCAGCAGAGAGAAAAACTCGCTCCAAGTGTAGTTCACAGCTCTGGGAAGAGAATTCTTTTATCCTCCCTTTGTGTTTATATGGGAGAAAAATTGTTTGTGTTTAATGATTTATGATGAGCAGAAGTTTAAAAAAAAAAGTCCTAGCGCTGAATTACAACAGGATAACAGAGAAATATTAACTATGTTAACTAGGTTGTAAGCCAGTTGCCTAACTGGCTGCCTTTGGAATCCTGCTGCTATGGCAGTGTTTCTTAAACTTTTTAAGACCGAGGAACACCAAACAATGTTTGTTTTTAATGAGGAACACCAACGATTTTTTTACTGAGCAAAAAAAAAAAAAAAGTTGAAGGAGGAGAAGGGGGGGGGGGAAGATCACCTGCCCCTTTAAGGGTGGCCATTTTCAATTCTGTTGTTCTCTGCGGCACACCTCCGACTGCCTCGTGGCACACTGGTGTGCCATGGAACACAGTTTAAGAAACACCTTGCTATGGTGTTTTGCCATAGGCAAGTAACACTGGTAAAAAGCATGGTGGTTTGAGAATAACAGCTAAGAGGAATACAGCAAACATAAGTAGGGCAGATGCCTGAAATGAAAAAGGCAGTGAATTCCTGTTGTGCATATAACTAAGGTATTTTCTATTTCCAAGAATAGCTCTGAGTTTAGCATTCTGTGTACCTGTGTTAATGCTCACCCTGGGCTGAGCTGCAAGGGTAGGCAAGGACATGGAAGATGCTGCACCGACTGAGCTAGTTGGGCTTACTCTGTTCTGAACTTGAGTAGCTCCATTTAACACAATTAGCACAAACCCCAGTGCAGCTTGCTCTTCTCTGTAGTGGGGGTCTGCAGCCACTCAGATGCTACAGCAATGAGAATGTATAAGCACCTTGGATAAATAGTTACCAATTTAACTTCCTATAGCAGTGGACAGGACTTTAGAACCCCCTCACACACTGTCCCATATCAAAATCCTGTTCTTTATTACAGTCAAGACCAGACCAGACCGCTGAGAGCTATGTTTAGTAATACGTTTCTGGGTTGTTGAGAGAACTTACTGGAGATAATGTTGCATTATAAAATAATAATTTTTCCTTTCCTTCTGTGTTTTCTTCTCTTCCACACACAAAGGATTGTTATCCGTTTTTATCCGCTGGAACCTTGGCAGATTGGCAAGAAAGGAACTGTCATGACTTTCTTATGAACCGTTCAAGAAGTCCATTAAAAAGAAACCCTTGTCAAAGGCACAACTCAAGGATGGCCAGCTCTACCTATTTGTTCCTATGCAAAATTTATATCTGTCCTTCTGCCTCTTCCTTCATGTCATTCTCTTCTGTTTCCTGCCTGCACACGCAGCCTTTGTTTCACACCCCTGCCCAGAGACAATGCGGGTACCTGTGATCTCAAACTGAACGTGAATCTTTGTGAGTTTTTGTCAGCAGCAGCATTGCAATGGCCTTCCTTATCTGGATCCAGTTAATCCAAGTTCTATAGTCTTTTCTTTTAGCAATGAATAGTTCTTTCAGAGCTGTCCTTACCCATATACAGAATACACAGTTATTTAGAGCACCTGAAAATTTGGGGCACTGCTGAGTCTTACTATCCACCTACCCACCTCTTCCTATCCCTATCCTGTGGCTCTCCTTTCTCCAGAGAAGATCTATTTAATTTAAATGTGAAAAAGCCAGCCAGAGCTATTAGCAGAATACTGACTCTGTGAAAGAGCCATTCAAGTAGTAAGGAAATCATGTAACAGGCATTTGCCAATATCAGGTCTGTACTGTCAGTTCCTGAATTTACTGTGTTATTCAACTGGACCTTAGTTTAAAATTTGCTTTAAAATATTTCATTAGTGTGTTACTGAAGGTTATAAAATCATAACTAAATAATTGTCTCCCCAGTCCCCCACAGCTATCATTGGGCAGAGGGGCAGCAGTTTAATAAAACTGCCTAGGGCCTCATAAATCCTAAGAATGGCCTAGAGCTCTTTATTTCTGTTGCGAGACTGGTGTCATTGATAACTGACTGCAGAGGTTCTCCAGTTTTGCTCAGTCCTAAGGGCCACTTTGCAAGAGAGACTGACTCTGTGAATACTGTGTACAGATGGGGTCTTCTCACCTCAAAAAAGATATTTTGGCCTTGGAAAGGGTTCAGAAAAGGGCAACTAAAATGATTAGGGATTTGGAACGGGTCCCATATGAGGAGAGGTTAAAGCGACTGGGACTTTTCAGTTTAGAAAAGAGGAGACTGAGGGGGGATATGATAGAGGTCTATAAAATCATGAGTGGTGTGGAGAGAGCTGATAAAGAAAAGTTATTTATTAGTTCCCATAATAGAAGAACTAGAGGACACCAAATGAAATTAATGGGGAGCAGGTTTAAAACTAATAAAAGAAAGTTCTTCTTCACACAGCGTGTAGTCAACCTGTGGAACTCCTTGCTAGAGGGGGCTGTGAAGGCTAGGACTATGACAGAGTTTAAAGAGAAGCTAGATAATTTCATGGAGGTTAGGTCCATAAAAGGCTATTAGCCAGCGGATAAAATGGTGTCCATGGCCTCTGTTTTTCAGAGGCTGGAGAGGGATGGCAGGAGACAAATCACTTGATCATTATCTTCGGTCTACCCTCTCTGGGGCACCTGGTGCTGGCCACTGTCGGCAGACAGGATACTGGGGTAGATGGACCTTTGGTCTGACCCAGTACGGCTGTTCTTATGAGACAGATTCTGTCATGACAGCTGTCCTCCCAATCTTCCCTCTTTCTTGTGAAATTCTGTCTGTTCTAGGAGTCCGGGGGCCATAGCTTGAAATATTACAGGTTGAGCTTCCACTATCCAAATAGAATTGTAATTGGGACCATGACCCTGTAGACATTTCAACTTCAATAGTTAGTAAAGGTTGCTCAGTAATCTATCAGTATGTGCTAAACTAACACATAGTACTTAGCCTAACTTGCTGCCACTGGTGGGCAGAGAAAGCCAAGGAGAGGTGAGGTCTTTCACGTTCCACTTCTGTGACAATTTCTTCAATCTAACCTCCTTCCCCCTCCTTTAAGGGAAAAGGGAATATTGGTCTGCAGAAAGAATCTTTAAACTGGTATGGGATGTCTGGGCTAGGGCTCGTCTCAAATCTCCTGCTCTGAGCTCTGTTTCATTAGGATCATTTGCATGTGCTGGTGGTTGTTCCCATGGGATTTCCTTCATTCAGTAGATTCCTATAGTTTAATATCAATGTGAACAACATGCATTAGGGTATGTTTGGAAGAGGGCTACTTATTGCAGTATCAGGCTATACCCAATGGTGTGGAGCCAGGAAATTGTTTTGCTGATTCTGATAATTAATTTCAATTCTTATAACTTGTCTTCTTGTCCACAGTACTTTTCCTCTGAACAATATCAGAACAGCTTTTATTTGACGAATGTTTTCAATGTACTGTTTTGTAGGTGGTATGGAAGAGCTCATGATAACGAGTTCTTGCAGTGCTTGCATTTTTTCTTTTTCTTATTAGACCCAAGGTCTTTCTATTTCTGCTGTAATGTTCATTCTCTTAGGAAGGGAGTTTTCCCTTGGTCACTTTCTATAACTGGATTACACTCAATATTTTATTTTAAAAAAGCTTTTCAGCCCCTCCCCAAGTTTCATTAAGTTGGAAGTGTCTTTCATTTATTCAAAAATAACTGAAACCAATTAGGTTATTCAAAAGGAATGAAAAACAAATGATTTATTAATATCTGAAACTAGTTACTATACATGCAGCATAACTTTCTTCTGTTGTTGCAGAAATGAGTTTTTGTGCTCTAAACAAAATACTGTATGCACCATACATCAGGAGTTTATCTGGTCAATAAAATGTGTGTCAAAATATTTTGTTAGTGTGTGTCGATTCACTAGATTATCACAATACTTTCACTTTGTTCCTTTTTCTCGTATCTCACTCTTTTTAAACTCACTTATAGAGAACATAGCTATTCAGGACTGCCTCCGTTTGTGTATTTTTCTTATGTAGTCTTTTCAATTAAATGCTTTTAAAAATAAGATAGTAAATTAAACCATTCTGTATCACTAAGCAGATGACCAGTGATCCTAAAAATCCCTTTGCCATGGGGAAAAAAGCAGAATGTGTTTTTACAAAGAATCTTCAGTTTTTAAATTTTGTGAAAAAATAAAACATATCAATAAATTTTACTGAACATACCAGTGTCACTTATTCAGTGTGCAACCTCCTCATCTTGTGCTTAATTTTGAATGTGCTTTACATTTACATTGCTAAATACCCTTCAATAAATTGTTTCCACTTTATAGAGATTACTCAATGGCATATGGGCTAGCATCTTTTTTAAATGCATCTCAAATTTCACATCTGCCTCCAGCCATGAGTGGTTAAAGGTATGAAAAGATGCGAAAAACTTTAAAAATCACCCCAAAGACTGTGTCTCTTTGTTTGGCAAGAACAAATTTCATGTTAATAATAAAGTGCAGTTCTTTACTGTATGCAGCAAGGCTATAGACCACATTCGAGGCAGACAATTGTAGAACAGATGGAAAAGGCTGAAGCATAAACTGAATGAAAAAAATGTAAACACAAGAGACTGAAACAGCAGATCCGTTGACAACAGAAAGAAAATGCATTGTGATTGTATCATTACAGCATTTTTGTGCATTTAAAAAAAATTCGGAAAATATACAATACAGACAGAATTATTTGGTGTGTGTGTATATACATTCATGCATAATATATATATATATATGAAATACAAATTGCAATTCTATTTATTTTATTATAATTGATGGCACCGATAGGCTTCAAACTTGCTTAAAATTGTAAATATATCATTAAAATGCCGTGTTCAATTGTTACCAATATATTGTCGTTAGGAAAATTAAAATTCATCATTTCATTTTAATCATGGAAAACATGGATTTTTATGGTTTGAATGAATTTTGAGGGTTATCATGGAAAACCAGGATCCTTACATCTGACTTAAACCCTATTACTACCTTCTATCCAGGCTGGAGGATTGCACTGCCCATGTCCCTATGGTGTGGCTCTAAAAAGTAGAGGTGTACTCTTTGAGTGCATCTACATAGCATCCTAAACTCAAAATAAGATACGCAATTTGCATAGCGCAAATGGCATATCTTTTTTCAAATCTAATTTGAAATTTGGCACGTCTACACAGTGCCAAATTTCAAAATAATGTGCTATTTCAAGCCATCCCTTATCCCTTGTGCAACAAAGTTTACTGGGATGGCAAAATCGTGTGCCTGATATTTCAAAATAATGGGTGGCAGGTGTATCCTGAAATAGCCGTGCAGTGTAGATGTACCCTTTGTGCAATCTGAAAAAAACCCAATAACCATTATGTTAATATTACAGAAATGTTAAGTCCTTCCCTTTTCGTAGCTAACAATTGTGACTTCTCTTAGGACACACATGCTGTTGCCATGGGCCCTAGCACTTATTATGCCTTGTTGGCTTCTTACCATTGGTTGCTTTTAAAAGCTGTTTCTCCATTGTTTCTCCTGTTAGCTGCTTCCTGGCTTTGTGTCCAGTTCATTGCTATAAAAGAGAGCAGGTTCAAGAAGAGGCAGCCTTCACACACATTCTCCATCTCTCAGCAGCAACGTCACTACTTTACAAATGGCTGTAGATGTGGACAAAGGAGAGGAAAGGGGGTAGATCCCATTCAGGGGTTAATAGCGGGGAAAGCTTGTGAAGGAGGTTGCCATGCAAAGATGGCAAAAGAGAATGATTTCTGAGCTTTTGCAAATGCTGAAGAGGATAGTAAACCAGAGGGCTCCCTGCTCCCTAGAAGAGAAAACATAAAGGGGCACCAGGGCATGTTTCGAGGAGGGGTAAGTTTGTGGGATGAGTATCTGAACTACTGTTACTTTCGTTTCTCCTAGCTCAGACTTTTCATGCAATGTGAACAATACCTTTCACGCCCCCAGTGTGCTGTGACATTAGTGACAAAACATCCATACTAGTGCAAAATCATAACATAAGCTGGAGCAGGCAACTTGCTGGACTTTGGCTGTTTTGTAAGAGAGCAGTTAAAATATTAAACCGAAAGGTGAATGGCAGGAGCAGATTGTTTTTCTCAGCATGCGTCCTCTTATCTTTTATTTGGCTCTGGCAGCTGCAGAGGATGGAGTATGATCAAAGTAACAGTTATGGTTTAATACAATGAAATCTCTGTAGGGCAGCGGTCACCGGCCAGTCGATCGGGATCCACCAGTAGATCTTGGAGCCTCTGACAGGTGATCCTGACTGGTTTGGCCAAGAGGCTATCAAGTGCAGCACTTCAACTGCCCTTCCCCCCACTGCTGCTCATCTCCTGCCCTTTGCCTTGGAGTCGTCCCCCCCACCCCACCGGAGAGGGAGAGGAGGGTGCTGATGTCAACATGCCCCCTCTCCCACACTATTCAATCTCCACAGAGCAGAGAGAGGGCACAACAGGACTTGGGATGGAGTTTGCTGGCTGCTTTTGGGAGTGGTGCAGGGCCAGGGCAGGGGTGAGCCTGCCTTAGCCCCACTGCACCACCACCCAGGAGCCGCCTGAGGTAAGCAGGGTCCAGTTGGAGCCCACATCCTGAAACCCTACCCCTGCACCACAAACCCCTGCCCCAACCCTGAGCACCCCTGCATCCAAACACTCTCCCAAAGCCTGCACCTAGAATCCCCTTGGCACCCCCACGGCCTGCCCCAAGCTCAGTTTAGAGCCCCGCTCACTCCAAATCCCTTAATCCAAGACCAGAGCCTGCACCCCAGCCTTCTGTCCCTGCCTGGTGAAAGTGAGGGAGGATGTGGGAGGGAGGGTGGGGACAACAGAGTGAGCAGGGATGGGGCCTTGGAGAAGGGGCACAGTGGAAGCGGGGTAAGGGTGTTTGGGTTGGAGGTAGATCCTGGATGGCACTTAAATTCAAAAAACTCTGTTGTTATATTGGCTATGGAAACAGCCATTTAGCTCATTCACTCTTA